TGACCCTTCAGGCATCATAAGCATAAGTTGGTCTGGTACTTCTGCCAGTGTCTGATGCCGACGGAGTTCATCCCGTATACACAAAGAGTGTAATGGAAGACCAGAGTGTAATGCAAGACGCCCCCGCCTCTTCGAGCGTGCGCCTAATTCCTCTCTAGTTGTGGTTTATTAGACATGAACGCAATGCTGCAATCACCGACTGTCGTTGTAGCAGGCACTAGAACGGCAAAACCTTGCCATTCAGATATCAGGCTCGCATTCATGCTTCTAAACACTATCTCAATGTTTGCCTTTATACACCTCTGGAATGTCATTGGCCACTCGCATGGTTCAGGACCCCAGGGAAGAGGAAAAACATGAACATGCTGCTCAATGGTTTATCACAAAATGTATTCCCGTTGCAGCTCCCATTCCGCCAATGTTATTGCCTGGGGGCTCCTCTGGACGTGAGTTCTGTTCTTTCTGTACGTTAGTTACCGACACATTTTGATTACCTCCTTAAGTAAAATTACACGCCCGCGTAGGTCGCTTAGTCTCGCTCACATGGGCAGCTGGACACACGAACTCCCCCAGCTGACGCTGACACGACCGTAGCAGCTCACACGCATCACACATCGCCTAAATATGCTCACCTTGATGAGTCCACCAGGCTGGAACTCACTTCAGTCAAACACGGGTCGGGCATATTCAAGGAACAGAGGACGTCACATTTGCTTTAAACACTAAAGAACCCGGCATGTCTTCTGACGCCCTTTCAAAAATAATTATTCCAGTCGCCTCTAGATATTTAGGCAGCCCACCTTAAACTAGCTCCGACGCTTTGGAATGCAGCCGTCAAAATTCTAGGAGGAGTGTTTTATTCCGAAAATGCGTGATCCCAGCATGGAAATCCGGCTACCTGGTACACAGGTTTTTAGCAGGTTTGCCTGAGGACAAAGCGCTACCTTGGTGCTTCCAAAGACCTGAAATAGTGAGGCTAGACATATTGTGTCCGTCTGTCCATCCAGCTCCAGCCAGCGGTTCGTCCATCTCCTTGACAAAAACATAATCAAAATTGAATGGTGGCTGTGAAAGAAGTGCAGTTACGCAGATAACTTTATACTCGACCGCATTTCGTAACAGACTGACACTGCTCAACGTCCATGCAATCCGTCTTTATGTCTGACTTGTCCCGGAATACCAAGCGCTATTGTCAATTTCAAGATCAGTCTCCTTTCATGTGATCCGAAAGGGACTTCGGCATGCCAATTTCCAAGGCAATCTACGACGTCCGCCATCAATCTCGGGCTCAGTGACGACGTTAACCGCGCTTCTTTGTAAGCATTACGCGTTGATCAGACTCACTAACAACGGTAACACCTATATATATATATATATATATATATATATATACATATATATATATATATATAAACATATTACAAGCCTGTGTGGCCAGCTGCCAACCTCTCCTACGACAGATCGAGGGCATCCGGCGTCCCCAAGAACACGTCCACGATACAAGGCACCAGGTCCGCTCCAAACAAGTGACGTGCTTTTAGAAGTTTTACCAACGAACGTGATTCAGCGTGGTATTCATTCCGCAGGCTGTAAAATTACGTGTCGGCCCACGGGTTACGCCAATCGATTTTCACCACCACACATTATACAGTTACATAGTGAATCATGCAAATCTAACTACCGTCGGCCTACCGTTATGTGCATTATGTCAGCATTCATCGAAGCTCGTCATTTCCATAGCTATCGCCGTCCACGACAGCAGTTACACCATAAAGGGTTATTCCCAGACTTGCCTACCAGCCCGATATCAGCGCCCACAATTCAGCCGAAGTCAGTTATAAAAGCCGTCCTTTGTGCTCCACTGGCAGAGCGGCTCTAAACCGAGATTTTCACAGAACGGTTCTAAACCGAGATTTTGTCAGAACGATTCTAAACTGAGATTTTCCCAGAACAAGCACATGGCGTCCAATGTTTCCAACCTTGCTGTCTGGTGCCCCCGTCACTTCCTTATTTGGCTTAAGTGACGATGGACAAAGCATTCTAGTGACAGTTGCTAATAAATTGTTTCCATACAATTTAAGGATTTAGTAAACTGAAGGACACCATAAGGTCACAGCAAGGACGAACAAAGGTATACTTAAGGTCACGGCCTCTTTTTGAAACTCATATGGTACAGCTGGCAGTTATGAGTAACACGCAGTGACAGCCTCCCTTCTCGCGCGGCAACCCGCTATTGAACTTTAAACATAACTCCTCCAAGTGGTCAAAGTCGCTCCATCCAACCCTTTTATGTCAGATATGCTGCATGCACGCACCATACATTTAAAAGTATTGTAATACAGATAGCATCGCAAACACCGATATTAAATTTATACCGAAGATCGTAATGCCATTCCATGGATGCGTGCACACTGATGAACGGAGCAGATAACACATATTCTCGACAAGCAATACGCTTGCTGGCATCGCGCTAACGAAAACATTGCTGGCTGCTTTTCAAATGCTGGTGTTGCAGATGCCATTGGCATTTTAGAAAACCTCCCGGAAAGACGATGCAAATATGTTGTTAAATGATATCCGAGGGAAGCGTGGATAGGTGGAACAGCACGAGATGTTCCAATATTCTTAAAGCACGGAAACATGCTGCTGTATGTTGTCTGGCTGAGCCTCCCATGTAAGATTATCGGTTTCTGATCATGTCTGATCAAGATTTCTGATCGATTCCTATTGAATATTTGATTCAGTAGAATTTTGTATGAACTAACACAATTGGCAAGACTCTCTCACATTGAGCGCAAACGTAACACGCTTCAATGCAATGAACTGTAAGAAATTTAACTACACTATCTAATTTTGAGACACCAATTCGAGGGAACTGTAAGTGACCTGTCAACTCTCGTCGAACGTGATTCTTTAGAAAGTTAACGCGCTGCAGGTGCTGTGAATCTGGAGTTTTTACGTCGACAGATATGGACTTTAAATATACAAGGAAGCACAGGAAAAAGGGAGTGTTCCACATTTGTGCAGGGTTTTGAGCTGAAATAGCAATCTTGAAGATCATTCGGTGAAGTTCACAGCCCTGCCCTTCCTTAGCCCGTCCAATTTTTAAGCTACACGCCCACGAAGATTTGCAGACTTTTTCGTACGGGCTATTTCAAGGTCACCCAGGCATCCAGGACGCCGTAATAACATCACTGAAATCCCGCCATTCCGTTGGCTGCGCGACGATCAAGGCCAAGCAAACTATCACTGTCGAGTCGTTCATATCTGGCGGTCGTGAGCACGATTCCCAGATATAATGACAGTCAACTGGCTCCCAATCAACGTTGCGCAAGGTAGGGTCACGCAACCAAGCAATGAAGAAATGAGGAGCATATTTACCAAATAGAAAAATGCGCTATATACAGCAGTCTTCCATTTAAAGTACACCAAATGTTAAAAAGTGGGCTAATTCCATCCTACCTGGTGCTTGCTCAATATCCTCAAATATTGATCATTCCCTTCAAGCAACATTACAAGGCTCGCTCTGGTTGTGTTGCCAATACTTGACGATTCGAAACCGTTCCTAGTAACCATAACCAGCTCGTCACTCGTGACCATCAGCGCAGCTTTGTAACATCGAGTATTGCCAATAAACCCAACGTTTGCTTAGCAGCGTCGTTTAAGCGACACCTCCTAGCACATTCAACGTCCATCGTTGTCAACATGAGCACTCGGAACTCATAATGCCGAAGACCCAGGTGCCCAAAGCCTTTCTTCTTATATCAAGGACCCGCTGGTGGCTGGCATATGACACCAATAAATACAGATATCAATATGTGGCATTCGTCGATCGTCAGCATTCCAACCAAGTTATTTCACTACAGCGATGGTAACATCAGCAGATGTTCTAGATTACGTACGGCACGTCAGACATGCCTTAACTAACTATACGCAGTTCAGTGTCATTCTATCTCGCCTCCACACGCGACTCTGCCCCTGTCCACCTCATCACCACACGCATCTCTGTTCCGTCCAACTCACCACCACACGCATCTCTGTTCCTTCCAACTCACCACCACAGCATCTCTGTTCCCGTCCACCTCACCGCCACGCCGCTCTGTCCCTGTCCACCTCACCGCCACGCCGCTCTGTCCCTGTCCACCTCACCGCCCCACACCGCTCTGTCCCTGTCCACCTCACCGCCACACGCCGCTCTGTCCCTGTCCACCTCACCGCCACACGCCGCTCTGTCCCTGTCCACCCACCGCCCCACACCGCTCTGTCCCTGTCCACACCGCCCCACACCGCTCTGTCCCTGTCCACCTCACCGCCCCACGCGCTCTGTCCCTGTCCACCCACCGCCCCACACCGCTCGTCCCTGTCCACCTCACCGCCCACGCCGCTCTGTCCCCGTCCACCTCACCGCCACAGGCCGCTCTGTCCCTGTCCACCTCACCGCCACAGGCCGCTCTGTCCCTGTCCACCTCACCGCCACAGGCCGCTCTGTCCCTGTCCACCTCACCGCCCCACGCCGCTCTGTCCCTGTCCACCCAATCCACCCGCCACGCGCGGCCCGGCGTTCGTCCACCACGCGTCGCGCCGCTCGCCGCAGCTTCGCAGTTCGCTGTCCGCTGTTGGCTCGCTGTCAGCCCTCGGTTACGGTTTCCATCGAGCGGACAAATTGGGGAGATGAAGACTGACGCGGGCTAATTTGGGACCCCGCACGCCGTGACCTGTCAGCGCCCCCCGCTGCCGGGATGGACTGCCGGCTCCACCGGCGTGCAGACCGGCGTCGAGAGCGGCCGCTGCGGCGGAGATCGCCCGCTGTTCCTAACCCGAAGCGAGAGAGAGCACGGGCTGCGTGTGGCCTGACCGGATGACACAGACCTGCGAGAGCCCGCGGCGAGGGCCGACGGTGAATCACGGCCGTGTGGTCGGCCGGCGAGATGAGCCGTCGGGCCGGAATGTCAAGCAGCCGGCACGACCGTGCCGCTGCTCGGCGCGGTGCGTTCACTCACACTGTGGCGCTGGTGTAGTGCAGCTCGTTCATCTGCTTGCAGTCGTCGCCTCGTCTCCGCCACTTGCCTTTAGGCTCTGAAATGCAAAGCGTCTTTTCTAGGGGGAAAATAAACGTGGTAGCCAAGACCCCGCAGTTGTGGTGCAACGCGATGCTGCGTTTGTAGCGCGGTGACCCAAAGCAACTTTTGGAGAGGTTATAAAATCGCTAAATAACTGAACTGAAACTGTGTTATGTCTGACGTATGAACAGCCAACGAATGCACACCAATCGGAATGTCTTGACTAATGAAATAGTTGGCTTTTCACAGCAAGAGCCAGGACAGAGGACCACTGACATAGCAGACACGCAGTGAATTTAGCCACCGCAATGAACATGAATGATGCGGATTGAAGCTCAGTTTTAACAACATTACACAAATAATGATTCCGTGACATTTTTAAACCTAACATAATGTAGTACAACACCGGCCTTGTATTCACCTCACATGACGTTTTGGTTGAGGGACCAATTCCACCAGATTGAGGGACCTTAAAATCTTCACAGTCTTTCTTAAGAACCTTGAGTCGAGACGGGACAGGACATGAGTAGTCAGGCCGCCTCACTGCGCTTTGTTTTCGCCCTGTCCTGTCCTGCCCTATCCTGTCCTGTCCTGTCCTGTCCTGTCCTGTCCAGTCTGTCCGGTCCAGTCCAGTCCAGTCCAGTCCAGTCCAGTCCTAACCTGACCTGACCTGATCTGACCCGTTTTGTCCAGCCTTACCTTGTCCTGCCTGTTCTCTCTTTTCCTGCGCTGTTCTTCAATACCCTACCCTGCCTTGCCCTTCCCTTACCATCCCATCCCATCCCATCCCATCCCATCCCACCCCATCCCATCCCATTCCATTGCATCCCATCACACCCCATCCATCCCTTCCCTTTCCTTCCCTTCCCCTTCCCTCCTTTTCCTGCCCTGCCCCGCCCTGCCCCGACTTGCCCAGCCCACCCCGTCCGTTTCTGTCACTGTCTCGGTCTCGCTTCTCGCTCTCGCTGTCAGTCTCAGTATCATTCTCAGTCTTAGTCTCATTTTCACTCTCAGTTTCGGTCTTTTCACATGCCCAGCAAATCCTTTAGTAGACATTTCTGTAGGATCCTCCATTAACAAAACCACGCCTTCACCCCACAATTGTATTTCACGGTGCACGAGTATCGCGCCTGGGACTGAAGCTAATGAAAAGTGCAGATCGTCTCGATAAACATCTCGGACGCCAAGCCCACGCCTAATCCCACGCTCTCTCTGAGCGAGCATTCCTTACCCAGGCCGGTTCTTCTCGTGCCATCTATACGGATTACTGGAACAGCGCGGTCAGCCTTGTCACCAAGCCTGGAAGACGGTACCACATTAGTCGCCTGCGGATGGCCATGTTTTATCCGTGGCTTTATGGCCACAGCTCGCTGAGTCCCAAATGGTTTAATGCTGAGCCTTCGTCAAAGACGCAGATTCTGAAAGAAGCCCGATATATCGATGGGCGCTGGCAGCCGCCGACGGGGGTTTTTGTTATGTGGAACTTTGACTTGTACCCTCTGAAATTACGGCACATAAGAGTGTGCGACTGGAAAAGTTTCACAAAACTTCATCAGTATAAACTAGGATTGCTACTAAAAAGCCACTGGTGGCGATACCGAATCTGTGAATTTAGCCTGTTATCGGTCGATCTGACTACGTAGTGCAAAACGTGTCACTTTCTGTGGCGTGACAACGGCGCAAGCTATTTTTCGATTCAGGAAACGACCTGGTACCCAAGCTGCTTCCGTGTCTATCCATAGTATGAAACGTGAAACATTAGGATGATACAAAGAAAAACATGATTATGACTTTTGATTGCATGCATTATAATATCAAATTTACCATCTATTCATGAAGATGCAATGAACAAGCGACGAAAATATCAACTGTGGCTGTTTTGCTGAGAACACACTGAACGCTGGTCTAGTGAAGCATGTATCGATTTCATGCTGTCATGACAATCTGACAATCACTGGAACTTTCTTAGCACCGATCATTTGTATTGCACCACTAGACCATGATAAGATAACTGTCAAAAATAATGTGTTCCACAAAATTTCCTATCGATCGTTTTCTTAATGTGCAATGTAAGTGCACCGTCAATGTCAAGCGAAAATATCAGAATAATTCCCCCAAAAGTGGTACCTTTTCTATACGCACTGTATATTTCCTTCTACGATTTGAGGAAGACAATTGTCATTGGCAGGGAGGAGGGACCCTTAAACCTGAAAATTCATTGGATTGACCGTCTTGCTAGTCGCCTCAATTGAATTACCGTAGTCTAAACTACGGTTTAACAGTCAGAATATGCTGTTTGCAGCCCTAAGTGAAGTCACGATGTACAGCCAAGCCGTTGTAAACCGCGAGAGAGCCGTCCGCTTTCGTATTGCGTTCTGTCGTGTTGTGCCTGCAGTCTCAGTGCGTCCTTCCGTAGGGTTTTCGCTTTTCTCTGGTATTGAGCGTGTCTCCCGTGAACCTAAAATGATCAGCTAAATAATGCGGTGAGCTGCCGTACTAACTCGATAACAAAACGGTACAAAGTCTGGCAAACCGGTTACCACGCGGAGATGTTGCCGTCTCACACTGCGACAACTGGACTATATGACTGACTCTTCCAGGGATTGAACCTCAGGCGGTCTTAGCAGCTAGGCGAGCTTTACCGCCCACGAGCCGTCATGTGAAGATGGCAGATCCCGAGAAAACGAACCGAATATGATGAGCGCAGATGATGGGCTGGCATGGCAACCATGGCCATTTTTCGTGCAGGGGCCAGCTGACTGGGGAGGTCCCATCTACAGAACGAACCGCAGTCGTTTTCTAGACTCCCGCTAAGCCACTGAATCAGAACATCGTTTGGCGTTTATCCGAGTCATGCGAGTAACGTAGGGCTCTTACACCGCACCACAGTCGACCTTTGTCGGCGGCGGAGCACTGTGCCGATAATGGTGAACATATCCTGACCCACAAAAGGGCTTCTCGACGGGCTATCTGGCCCTGCGTCCTGACGAGGGCAAAAGAATTGCGTCCATTCGCCAGGACACGAAAGGCACACGGCACTAAACGATCTGTGGCAGATTGATAGCTTCCTGACAGATGGCATTCATGCTGATCGGACTGACTAGCTGGGTACCATGGCAGCAACTTAAGCACTAATTCTACGTCAAGGAGGGCATGGTGCGTAATCTTTTCCATGTCACGTCCATAGAAATATATTTAAAGTTGACGTTAACGGATACCTATTATTCCGAGCTCAGACTTGAACAAAAGCGAACCATCAATGTATTGCAAACGTCTTCACAGAGTGCACTGCAGGCCAGTCTGCGCAAAATTTAAAATACTATCCTTAAAATGGGATATTGGCCGTGCGCTTATGCTTTCGGCATTTTCCAGACTCTTTCATGTCTTTACTAGCATCAGTGGACTTTATTGCATTTTCTTCCCAAGGTACATCACGAGTGCACTGCGAAACTACTGTTGCTGCATGATGCATACACACACACACACACACACACACACACACACACACACACACACACACACACACACACACACACACACACACACACACACACACACACACACACACACACACACACACACACACACACACACACACACACACACACACACACACACACACACACACACACACACACACACACACACACACACACACACACACACACACACACACACACACACACACACACACACACACACACACACACACACACACACACACTACACACACATACACACACACACACACACACACATATATATATATATATATATATATATATAGCGCGAGCGAGCGAGTTCCGGTGACCTACCTGGGTCGCTTGGCTCTGCGGCGGGCGCGCCTGGCCCGGTACCGCAGACAGCAGATGACGGTGAGCGCCGCGGCCGGGAACACGATGATGCTGGACACGATCGGGATGACGACCGTCTGCGGCGACACTGAAACAGAGCCGGCGCTGAGGGCAGAGCTGAGCAGAGCGGCTGAAATAGAGTCGGAGCTGAGAGCAGCGCTGAACAGAGCGGCTGAAACAGAGCCAGCGCTGAGAGCAGAGCTGGACAGAGCCGGCGCTGAGGGCAGAGCTGAACAGAGCCGGCGCTGAAGGCAGAGCTGAACAGAGCAGCTAAAACAGAGCCGGTGCTGAGAGCGGAGCTGAACAGAGCAGCTGAAACAGAGCCGGTGCTGAGAGCAGAGCTGAGCAGAGCCGGAGCTGAGAGCAGAGCTGAACAGAGCGGTTGAAACAGAGCCGGTGCTGAGAGATGGGCCGAACAGAGCCACTCTGAAAAAGTCAGACATGAGGCGACAGTGAAACAAAGCCATTGAGGTAGCTCTGAAACAGAGCACGAACTGGACGAAACCTAAGGGGCTGAAAACAGAGGCAGTAATGCCGCGGGATCGAAATACAGTTGAGAGCAAAATTAAGAATTAAAACAGCTAAGAAAACACAGCGACACTGAAAAAGCCGGTGCTAGGGACAACACTGCAACACAGCCAGAACTAAAGCTAGCTGCGTTGGCTCGGAAACAGAGTCAAGGCTTTGAGGACAGTGGAACAAAACTAGGGGTGGTGCGACCCTGGCACCGATTCGGGCCAGGATTTCCACTCTAACAAAACCGGTGTGAAGTCAGCACAAAACAGGTCCGGGGCCGTGCAACAGTATAATTGAGCCAGCAGAGAGCCAACTCTACACAGAGCCGGGGCTGAGGCGACATTGTAATAAAGGTGGGACTGAGGAAACACTGAAATAAAGCCGGAGCTCAGGCGACGTTGATGGAGCTGAGCCGGGACTGAGGCCAAGCTGAAACGGAGGGGTGATGAAATAACAGCAGCACAGAGTCATGGGTAATTAGGCACTGAGAAGGAGCTGGGGCTGAGGTGCCACTTGTTATGCTTTAGATGCCTCCAGCCTGCGTCTTTAGATTGTCACTAGTGATGTCGCAATGAGAGACCGTGCTGCAGTCGGTTAAACCCGTCAAGTGCGTCTGGTGAGTACTGCTCGGCGTCACACAAGCATTGAAAATGATGACAGTGTTAAAGGGCCCGAAATTCCTTTTAAGAGGACAGATCTTACAAACTATCCTTTAAATTCCAGTTACGTTTCGTTCTAGAAAAACAGAACAGCATGTGTTCAAAGGGCGGCTTTCGACCCAAGAGATTACGAGCAGCAAAAACAGCGCCAGTAATGGGTTGCACTTGAGTCGCTATGAACTAAAACACTGTCATCACTGGAAGTACCGCTAAGGCCTTCTTTCCCCTGAAGTGCTCTGGTGCACTGAAACTGTGTAGAATCACAAAACCCTACAGATCGGGCTGGTGACGTAGAATAGGGGAGACATATGGAAGGAATAAAAGGATACCCAAAGTTTCGACGGGTTGCAATTTTGACAATAATTCAACTGCTCCACTTTTCAAGATATTGAGGTGAGGTGTTTGAGATATTGGCGCATGAAATATGATGGAAAAGCTTATTTGTGTATAATTCTATATCAAGTGTAACATGCAGCTGTAAAAAAAAAGTGAATATTAGTAAATATGACCCTCAGTACGTCATCTTTGATAGCATCTTGGAAAGTTTTTGGGACGTAAGAGTCGTTGTCAGAGTTGCCGTGTCCGAGTTGCCGCTGTAGCGGACGGCGTGACCCGATTCTGGTACTTTTTCGCGTCGTAAGGTGGAGTTCTTGGCTTATGCGTATAAATCTAGCTTACGAGCGTTATGTGCGTGCGTTGTAGCCTATTCTCGTGGTATTCATGTATATTTTTCATTATGACATATCTTTCACTTGCACTTCCATACCGGACGGTGAATCAGGGCAAAGGAAAAAGCATGACTGTAAACTGCATGATCGATTATGAAAACGGCTACCTCAGTTCAAAAGCCCATGAAGTCTCGGCTTCTCCGGCACGCGCTTGCTTGAGGGGACCTTACGATTCTTTCAAAAACCAGCTCTGAACGACGCTGTGTAATCGCTCCGAATTTGCATAGTTGTAGCCAATTAAAGAGGCGATATTTTGGTATAACTTATTATACGTACCTTGTAAGGTCGCTGGCGTATGACAGGTCATTGCCAGGCCTTAGCTGTCAGCAAAGGCAATTCCTAGGGAATCGTTCAATCTGATGCGATAACGGAGTGTTACACGAAGCTTTACATCTTAGCGACGGTTACTTTGACAACCGGACAATTTGGGTTAGTGTACGAATAGTTCAATTCACCTTCACTCAAGAATGAATAAAAACAAACTTAACTCAAAAGTTAAGTTTGTTTTTACTGGAGGCCTTACTCTGTGAAATAGTTTTTGACGCTGGTTTCGATTGTTTAATACAGAAAGGTGAACAAATGTGTTATTTGAACTTGCTAAAGGCAAGAGGAGATCAATGGCCTGAAATCATCCCATCGATCTTTTGTTTTGCTTTTGGGGACGTAGCACCCAACGTAATCTTTGACGCTTATTAAGATAAAAATAAACAAAATCTTGCAGCTTTCTGGCCACCGTGAAAAGTTGACCTTTGTACCTATGCGTAGTTGTTTGCTGTTTGGGCGCTCAAGCGGGACGACAATGCGGTGATCCGTTCCTCGATCGATGTAGCTTGGGAACTGATGCAGAATTGAAGTCAGCCAGGCCCCGCCGCCGACAGGGCTTCGCTCTGGTGCTGCTTGCTCTCGTAATTCCGGGCGTCCGACTGGCTGTCATGCGGCGTGTTATTGATAGCCGGGAGTTGGTGAAATACTCCTCGCGTACAATAGCCAGAAACGACACGCTGGATGGAGAACAGGCGCAGACCAACTGCCTAAAGGGGAACTGCCAGAGCTGCAGTCTGAATGCAAGGTTTTGTTCCGAACGCTATTGCTTTTAGGGAAAGGAGATGTCGAACAAAAACACGACACCAGAGCCTTGGAGAGATAAAGGAAATGCAAATGCTTCGTTTGGGAGCTACAGTGTCTGTCGACAAAGTGAAACTACGACTGACCATCGCGTCAGTTCAGCGGAATCTTGAGCGTTGATGCCCATTCTTTCATCTTGATCGATGAGTCTTCTTTCGATTTCCGGCGATAGCTTATAAAGTGAAAACAGCTGTGCCCATTAATATGAACTATCAACGACATTCGAGTGGAAACGAAAAACAGACACACAAATCATGCCGCGGAGAGCAGAAACGTCATGTAATGTTTCTGACGCAGGTACGCCTCATCATGCTGCTCCTGTTGAGCGTGCTCAGCTAGGAGCTCGTCCCGATCCGCTCTCATGACTGAACTGGTGGAGAAATCATGTTCCATTGCTGCGTTATGGTTGAAGGCGTGCCTACTGTTCACACCTCCAGTTATCTATGCAAAGCATGTTGCAATGACGGTGATGCTAGATAATACAGATAGCTTGGTACGCTTAGGCGTGGGAAGCGAACATGTAAAGCATGCATTCGAAACCAGTCATGTTTGTTTCCTGATAGCCCGGGCAGAAAACCATTGGTGGGCTATTGCCTGGGGCAGAAAACCGTTTTGAGCGACATATCATTTTCGTAGTCATTGAATACATATTCTTGTGTTGTTTTCCAAGTATTTTCTGTATTTTTGATCGCTTGCGCTTGAAGTACCCCGTTTGCATTACTATTCCTGCCATGCCTTAAATATCAATAGAGTAAAACACTGTAGAGAGCTGTAAGCCAAGTACTACTGCCTCCTTTATCCTCACGTTAGCCCACGTTCCCCACATATACCCATCGACATTCCTCTCAAGGAAATTCAAGGCTTCCAATCGTTTCTCATCAGGCGTTGGGCCTGGGTCCACCGCCGCCATGTCCGACACACCCCGGGTTTCAGTGTGACCCAGCAACTGCTCGGTTGGAGGCCCTGGACAAGCTCACAACGCGGACAAAGCTGGCGCCGGCGATTGCCGCTCCGATGGTCAGCTTTGGACGCCGGCCGGGCGTGCCGCGGACGTGCCGCCGGCTTGGGGGTGGGGGGTGAGTGGGAGGGGGGATGGTCCCTTCCATTGTAATGTGGTGCTGGGATCAAGACAGATGGCCCGACGCGAAGATCAATATCAACAGAGGGGATGGCCGGACGAAGGCTGATCCCTCAGCCTCCGAGGCACGCTCCGACGCGATCTCGCGAAAAATGCCCCGGCGGCGATGAGTTGTATATGATTCGCACCTGCCATAGTGAGCTGTTTTATGTCGTGAATAATAAAGTGTTGTTTGTTGTGATTCAATAGCTTATTTGAAGCGAGGGTCACTTGTACGAGCATTACATACAGTGATATGAAATATACCCAACGATTTAAAGCCGTGATTCCAAGGTTCCGGCTGAAATAGACCTAAGCTTTAAATGGGCATTGAAGCGCAGTCAAGCTTCGTTCTAACGTGCATTCCACGCAAGCACTCTCAGTGCTGAGTACGGTGATTCTAGGCGGGTACGAAACATAGACGCGGATGCATCAGCAGTGAGGATCGTGAGGCACACGTGACATTGGTGAAATGCACCCTGAAAATAAAATAAAAGCACTTTAAGTGGGTAAGTCGGAATCGTGCATACGAAAATATTACGAAGCGCCCATCACAGCAAATCAAGTCATAAGTACTCTCGTGGGTGCTTGGGTGGCGGGTCAAATGTCAACATAAGAACGTTAAATCAAAAACGATTTCCGTAAAAAAAAATGGTATGCCATGCGACGACACCGAAGCTAGAGAAGACAAACCGCACAGCCTAGCTCTGTTGGTCAGCTGTTCTTTGGTGATCTGATAACCAATCAAACAAGCGCAGGTTTGAGACATGACCCCGTATGTCTGCACACAGCGCTGACATATTTGTCTACCTACGAACTGATGTTCGCGGGAGTCCTCTGAACAAGCGTTATCGTGTAGCGCATCTAAATTGGCCCAAGTACGTCGAGCCGCTCTGATAGGTTGTAGCACATTGCTGTTGCGGACTCCAGACGATACCAGTAACATGCATAAATGAATATTTTAACCGTTACCGTAATGTCCCGCACTCACAAAGCCCCGGACACAGTATCCCTGCGCTGATGAACAGCGTAAACTGAATTGCCGTTGTAACCATGATTGCTTGACATAAATCGTGTCTAGGATAGACAGGCTGAGATAGATATAAATTGAGTAACCACGGTTTTTAACAATAACAGCTTATGTTTGTATTCTAAATCTGTCAGTTAGAAATTACATGCCAAACCTATGTCTGGCATTCATCGAAGCCCAACGTAATGTGCACTTCTTCTGAGCTATACAGTTTGACTCACCGAAGTGCCTATAAGCATAAGCAAAGTGGGCGATCATCTCGATCGAAATAACCAGGGCTGTCCGGACCCGTAGTCAGACAATCTTTAGGGGATGCTTGATCTCCACGGTAGGCCAACTTCCTAATGTGTTTATCTGAACCAATGGTAGGAGCTTCCAAGGATGGCGGCTTCCATTAGCCTATATTATGTTGCCACACGCATGGTGATAAGTGACAACTTTGTCGTATGTCGTGACCTCGTTCGTCGCACGTCGCTCAAGGCCCCCAGCTCGTGACGTACTTTGGTTGAAAATCAATCGCAGCGTTTTCCAACGGTGTTAATTGGATGCCTCTCGCAAATGATGACTATTTCTATCTATAACTTAAACCATTTTAATTAGAGCAACGAGGACGTGCTCTACTGGGCACGTGGTCCGAGAGTCGTCGCTGCTGTCGTGGAAGCCGCGCTGTGCAGTTTACGGACGAGGTGCTAGGATTGCGTCCACCGCACAGGTCACGTGTGTTGCCTTCGTCCGGGGACGTCCCACATAAGTCCGGTGAACGTGTTAAGTTTTAGCATTAACAGAATGCACAATTTCTGCAGCACCTGTCTAATATCGACTGACACTTGCGAGCGGGGTCATTAGTCACTAGTGTCAAATAATGTCTGAAATATGCAGCAAATATATCTTTGCTGTCAAGACATAACTGGCCAGCATGTGGGCACATGCGCCCACACAGCTGCAGCTGTGTCCGAAAGTCCCGGATGCTACCATATGCGAATCCAGTCGATATGTTTTTCTGGCTCGATTCCGTGTGATCTCACGACACTGTCTAGTTCTCCGGCCTCATTTTCCATACCGCGCTGCGTGCGAGCCGCACATACTTAGCCAACAGCGTGCCAGGATTTAGCCGAGCCGCTCTTCGAGCCCGGCCAAATTGCAGTCAAACAATCCCAGGCGTGCCCGGTGGGAACTGTGGACTCATTATGCCGGCCGCGCCGACGACAGAGACCGGCGCCGCCGCCCGCGCTATTTACTCGCTGAGTCGCCGCGCCGCCTGGGCGTCGGCTTGACGGGCATTGTGACGCCGCGATAATAGTCGGCCGAGGAGAGCGCCGACTCCACAGCCGCCACAAGCGCGCTGCTGCCACGGCTGGGACCGCCGCTCGCCTCGGGTGGGCACGACTGCCGCTGCCGGGCCGCTTCCGCTGCCGGGCCGCTTCCGCTGCCGCGTCGCTGCCGCTCTCCTGATCAACTGAGAGACCGGGCATGTATTCATTTAGTGCGTGTGGCGTTCGTGTACAAGGGCCGTGGTTGTCTATGGACCGAATGGCATTCGGTGCGAAAAGACCGCTTTTGCTTCTCCTTCGCGCTACAGTTACGAAAATGCAGTAAATTAAGACAAGCATGTTGACTGGTTACGTATGCTTGAGTTCCGTATGGTAAAATATAATTTCAAGTTTGTTTTAGGCACTGCTTTGTGTTTTTCCCTTCCGGCGATGGCAGCAGATGTAAGGTGCATGCGTGTCTTCTTGTCCAGTTTGGAGCCCAAGTGTGCGCACATTCCAGGCCGCCAGCCAGCCCGCCAGCCAGAACCATCCCGTCACGGTCCAGTGAAGCAGCGCACAAACGGACCTCACCTAACTGCGACCCAAGCATTCCAACTCTTGTCCGCCTATTCGATGATCCATAACACACACGCATAACGCTCTGGATGTGACCAATGTGGCTCAAGAGCAGACGATAGTACGTATGTCTAGAGCTGGCTTGAAGCGAGTCCTTGACTCGACAGTTGGAACACACACAGCACGGCGCCCGTCGGCAGCGAGCGCGGCGGGGGGCGCAGGCTGGCCCTGCGGGTGTCGTTCTAGCGTAGCAAGCCGATGTCATCGAGCCAAACTGGCGACTGGGGCATGCTTGAGCTCTGGTGACGCGCAGGACTCCCGTTACGCACGACAGGAGTCGCGTGACGCTGCAGGGCTTCCGTAACGCGCGACAGCGGGAGATCTACTCCAGCGCTCTCAGCGGCGACGCGAGCGTGACCCTGTCCAGCGAGTGCTCCGGACGCCCGGCAGCTGCGCCGGCGGCGTTACTCACCGGTCGGGTACACCTCAAGAGTGGGCAGCGGAGGCGCCGCGGTGGCCGCAGCCGGTAGAGCACTGTGGTTCTGGCTGTTCATCATGCTGCATAACCTGCCGCAGGGGCGCAGGGTATTGGCAGTCACCCGTGTCCCTTGGGTACCTGGCAACGCACAATCAGCTAGGTACGACACAGTTACGCAGCTGCAAACAGAAATGTCACGCCTCTTTTACAACAAAGCCAAGGTTCTCAAAACTTCTGATAACCTTCGTAACATGTTGTATGAATCCCTTCAGAAAAGAGAAACGTTTATTGCTGGCGCGCAACTCGGCAAACTCTTTAACCAAACCATAAGCCATAATGTCATCGTGTGACATGTTTACTTCCCATATAAACTTTCTGCGAAGCCCCTGAGCCATCACCGGGAGCAGTTGTAGCGCTCGGAAGTAGCACGCTTTTTGGCAGCCACGGCTCGGCAGACCAGACAACGCTAGCAGTATAGCATTCGGCAGTATAGCGGCCGGCAGTATAGCGGTCGGTAGTATAGCGATCGGCAGTACAGCGGCCGGCAGTACAGCGGCTGGCAGTATAGCGGCCGGCAGAAAAGTGGCCAGCATATAGCAATCGGCAGTATAGCGGCCGGCAGTATAGCGGTCGGCAGTATGGCGGCCGGCAGTAAAGCGGTCGGCAGTATAGCGGCCGGCAGTATAGCGGTCGGCAGTATAGTGATCGGCAGTACAGCGGTCGGTAGTGTAGCGGCCAGCAGCGTAGCGGCCGGCAGTATAGCAGCCGGCAGTATAGCGGCTTGCAGTATAGCGATCGGCAGTATAGCGGCCGACAGTATAGCGGTCGGCAGTATAGCGATCGGCAGTATAAGAATGAGCCTGCCATCTTCCGCCGCCTCCCTCGCCGTTGCCCAGCTGTTGCCGTGACAGCTGTGCACTTCGCCACCAGCACGTCCCCTCACGTAGTTCACTTATGCCGTCACGATCGGCCACATTAACCCCTCATCACGAAACGATCGGACACATTAACCCCTCATCGCGAAACGATCGGACACATTAACCCCCCATCACGAAACGACCCGACACATTAACCCCTCGTCACGAAACGACCGGACACATTAACCCCCCATCACGAAACGACCGGACACATTAACACCTCATCACGAAACGACCGGCCACATTAACCCCCCCATCACGTAACGATCGGCCACATTAACCCCTCATCACGTCACCATCGGTCACATTACATCTTCCAAGGTGGGTTGGGGCTGGTGGTTGAGGCAGCAATGTTAACTCCCCCCCCCCCCCCCCCACACACACACTTGTCAGATTTAGTTTGCGTTTAGTTTGTTTGCGCCGTCTAAAAAATGCATACTGATCTACCGAGCTGACCAGCCAGCTTCTTGAAATCGCACTGGACAAAACTATTTCACGTGGTAAATGACAGCACCTTATCCTTCCATGAACGGCGAACGGAGATATTTAGGGGCAAATTTCAGGCTGTTCTAGTACCCCGCTTAAGTGTGCTCTTAGCCTGGCCCCTTCACACGTTTTGAAACGTTACTACGCCTATGTGTAAACAAGATTAGCTACGGTGGCTAACTGTAATATCGTCTATAAATCTATCAACGAAAGCGTGCGCAGCCATCAATGACTTCCACTATCCTCGTCCCATTCCTCGTCAGCTTTATTCTGCCCGCAATGTCGAGTGCTATGATGACCTGGTGTGCGGCCAGAGCTTTGGTAAGTGGGGTATATGCTTTGGCAAAGCCTTTCCCCCCACTCAACCAAAAGGGTTCACCGGGAATTACTTCGAAGGCACGAAATATATATATATATATATATATATATATATATATCTAAACTGATAGCAGTGAAGGTATTTTCAGGATCTAGGGGCCTCACACAGATATTGATAAGTGCCGTCCTGAAAACACCCGAGTAGCTCGAAGGGGGGTTTTAAAATTGTATGAGGACATAGCTGGCCCATCTCCATCTGGGGACACACATCCTTTCTTCGGAAAATATGAGTAAAAGTCATACAAAATAGATTGAGCACGCCTGTTCTCATACCGTTAGAAGGAAAACGCCAACTACAGGCGATGCAGTATCATAGGCCGCGCGACTTCGGCCTATGATGACAACAAGCACCGAAGACCATGTGGTGGACCGTGCGAAGGCGAAAATGGTCGCGTATTAGGAATTACTATGTGCAGTCTTATTATGCACGTATACATGCAAATTTCGCCCGTTCGCAAGTGGAGCGTGAAGCTCGTCCGTGTGAAAGACAGAGCTGTAAGTTTTACCGGCGCAATATTGTAATGCATGCCTGAAACTAGTCGAGTCAGCGTTTAGAGCGCCGCCAGCAATTCATGCAATGGGAAAGTATTTATTATTCGTGTTGCTGCTGAGGGGCCTCAGTGTTGGGTCTCGACTAATGGAAGAGGCCTCATACCGCTGCGCGCCGCCAAAGACGTCTTAATGGTTATATATTGCACCTCGGTGGTGGATAAAATTGATGGTGTCATTAGTGTTTATGGGGCCCGAACTCAGCCATCATGTTGCTAAATTTAACATGTTTGTAGTAATGGCAGCCGGCCCTAAGGCTCCCACAGCTTCTCAAATTTTTGCATATACTGTTGTAGATACCACTTGCAGCGGAAATACCACGAACAGCTGAATTTGCGGAATCCCCTCGAACGTAATTGACCGAGTTCAACTCCAATCGTATCACTGATTCACCTCTGTTTCAGTCTTCTAATCCAAACCGGCTCAGTGCAATATAGAAATATTTCCCCAGATTCTGTGACGATGTAATTCTGAACTAATTGAGATAATTCTTCGACCTTGTTTATGCGCGCAACGCGCAAAACCTTAACACTTTCATCCAAACATATGACGTTACGTACTGCAAAGCAATTCGGTTGATACAAGAGAGTCAATCCTCAACACAGCTCATGCTGAATAAACCTTCCAATGTTCGTGCAATTGAATGGATTCGCAATGAGCTGGTGTTTTTTGTCTGGACCATAAAGGCGAAATGGGAAATGCGCGTTGCTTGAGCCGTGTTGTTGGTCATATCAGATCCCTCTTAAACAGTTTGACATAGGTGCCAAATGGGTGGAAACGATTTATGTGTCATCTCTTTCATGCCGATCAATGCAGCCTTGATCCGTTTAGATATGTGCATATATATCTTACGGTGGCAGCTATAAGCTTCATTCTGGCCCCTAATAGAAAAGCCCAGCGTATAAATCCTTCAAACGCTATATTTCTGAGCAGAATGCAGTTTAATTTAGGACAGATTAGACCTGGCATGAAGACTCGTGAGAGGAGCTATGTCAATCTGAGTGCCGTAAGAACGCAAGACATTTGGCAAAACATTCTGGGTTTGGTGTCTTCGTCTTTGATGTTTAATGCGAGGTGGGTTTCGACGCGCTTACGTTTGACAGCGGTGTGTCAAGTTGGGTCACTATCAGCTGCTGGTTCTCTCCATTCACTCATATCCCTGTGTTATATCTGGCACTCCTATTCATAGCACTGCTCCGCGATATGCGTCCATGCTTCACGATATGCATCTGCGAAATCCGCTACAGATTTTGGTAATGGCGATTGACAGCGCATTTCTTGACCGTGTTGTAGGCATACACATGTAAGCCATTAATCCCTGTACTCCTTTTTTGCCAAATTTTAATCAGCTTTGAAACCAGGACTTTGCACTGATGACCGAGCTTATTTGTACAAACTTCAGACCGATTGGAGGTGCTGTTATCAATTATCTGTTGCCTTTACCTTTTACGGATTTCAAAATCTTCTTGTTATCGATTTCTATGCCGCTTTGTCTGCACCCCTGTGTCTTTTGTTCAAAGTCGGCAGACATAACGTCACTCAGACGTCACTCACACCCGCTCTAACACAGCCTGGTAGTTTGTATTTTGGTTAAAGATGTAAAATCGATCAACCGACAGCTTCGGAAAGGTGCACATCAGTATCTCTACTGTAGGTACAGCATATATTCTATACGGTGATGAAGGAAATTTGACCAGTGTCGGATTGAGAGATCGGTACCAGCATAGAGATGTTCCAACTTTAAATCCGTTAAAACAGCAGTACATTTGGATTCCATAAAGTAGTTCTTCATTATCCGACAAAATCCAGAGTAACGAAAACATTGTTGGTTTGTAATGAGGAACCCCCAGCATACCACCTCGTAACGCTATAGGTGGAATATTACGTCACAGTGTTGTCATCGTCCAGTGGGGGGCCCATTTAATACACAGCTATGAAACACTCTGGCAATAGAAAGACAGAGTAGCCAGCAAAACTAAAGGCACCTCAACCATACGGGTAAGACACCATAACGATACATCGTAAAAACAGAGGCCTGATAAATTAGGGCATCACAACTTTCTGTGCATATACCAAGCTAAGCAGCAACTTTTCTGCAGGCATGATTTCTCAAGGCCACTTAAGCGTGATGACCCGCACAACCTTGCAGCAATCGTCTTCGCTGATGGGAAGCCGACATATGCGCTTGCAAAACATGTATATGCAAATGAACGTGATGCAGACGAGCTGTAGTTAATTTGAATACAAATTTGGATAAGAAAGAAAACATTCACCTTCAGGTGTTTAAGAGTTCATGAGTTTAGAGACCCCATGCTGAGTTATCACCTTCAATGTACTAGGAGGCGCTGGTTAAATGACGTGTTGGCGCAAGCATGGGTTTCATTGACAGTACTTTGCACGCTGTCATTATAACGAATGATTGCCCTTTAACATCGTTTAACCAGTATCTCCTGGTAAATTAAACGTCGATAAATAAACAAAAGAATCAGGGGCTCATTTTGTCATGCAATCACTTCAAGCTCCACGCCTTCGATCCCTTCTCTAGCCACACCGATGCGCTCGCATAAATTTCCTTAACATCCATTACGAGTTGGCATCGAAGTGAAGATATCATTTACACCTTTTGTCAGTGAGCCCAATTGCGCGCAATTCCTTCCGTCTGAGAATTCATTTAAGCTCATCACTTGTCCCAAATGACACCGATCGATCATCTATCGTCCCCTTCAGCCAGGCCAGTGACGCATTCGCAGCCATTGCTCAGCCGCGCCCGACACTGATTTGCCGGACAGAAGCCGGTCACGATCCATACACGATCCGATGTCGCTCTCAGTCATCACTCTGGGAGACACCCCGAGCTCGAGCCGCGCGAGCGTGGGTGGCGCGCCTCCTGACCGCCAGCGGGTGCCAGGGCGCCGGTGACATGACTGCGTGCGCGGGTCGGGGTCATCTTGCGCGCCGCTGCTCCAGGACTGCCGCACAGCACCTGTCATCGGCAACTGACGCAGTCCTACGGCGGGGCTGAAGTCGCTTTACAGCGCATTTATGACATAGCCATTTTTGGAACCGAAATTTGCTTTCGTGATTGGAGTTCGCCAATCGAGAAGTGGGTTCCGGGCTAGTTCAGCAGCTGGTCCAGTTTTCTCATGCAGTATTCGCATTAAGGTGACGGGTAGTTACGCGTCAGAATAGCGAAGATCGAGATGAGATAATGCATCACTCCACTTCACGGTAACCCTAAGTATAGGCGCGCATGCTTCGGCGCAGGCTAATTTCTTACATACAGTTTCCTACAATTTCTACCTACAATTTCCTACATGTATTCAGCTTCTTTTTACACAACATATATGGGAACATTTTCAATTCCAAGTTCTGGAAGGGGGAATACCGCCAAAGGGCGAAACACGGAGTTGTCTTATCATCGATGCAGATCCTAGTTCCGAACGAATGGTGTAAGAAATGAGCTTCAAAGATGGCGCATGAATGCAGTAGAAAAACTCAATGAACCTAATATAAAAACGGGCCACCGAATAGCCCTGTGCGTAGACTGTGCCACTGATAAATTGCTCTTTAACGTATCGGATCAGGCTAAGGTGTACGTTTTCTTACCAGCCGAGGGAAACCAAAAAGTCGCCGCATGACAACCATGCTTCATTAATGGTAAGAGTTTTGTATTATGGCTGCTACAATCAAAAAGCGTTTGAATGCTTAATCCCATTTCACACACGCAAGACAAAATGGCACATTGCTTCAGCACGCACTTCAGGACTTCAGCACTTCAGGAAAAAAAACACAATGCGTCCATCTAAAGCGACCTTAACTTCAATCGTCAAAAACTACCTAGTCTTTAAAAACGACTGGTGTTTTGAGTCCAAAAGATATAACATGTGTATGCAAGCAAGCATCCTATATTTACGTGTGTTTTGTTGATATAATACGACACAACCATAACGGCATGGAACCACGGCTTTCTATTTGGCTTTACTTATGCTATCCCAAAACGATTTTGATTTATCACCCTGCATCGTCTGAAGATATTTCCTTAATGATAAGAATGACTCCCAATTTCTTCCTTTGTGTTATAAGACCCATTCTCCCTGACTCCTCATTAAACAACACATGTTAGCAAACGGATGTACCTCCCTCATCTATAAACCCCCATCTGAGACCATCGCTTACGTCACTTGTGTCTGGCATTTTCAGGGAACAAGTAAAACTTATGGTCATGACAGCCCACGTAATTTCATTCATCCATCCTGAATTGAGCAGAAACTCACAGCGGGAAACCGCGAAGCTCTTGTCACCCATCCCCCCCCCCCCCCCCCCCCGACACACAGGAGCGCTTCTGCGATTACCACATTGCATTATACATCACTGGGGATCGGGCATATTTCCTGGCAAATGAATACAAATGCGGGAAAAATTGAAGGTTACCGACCGCTTGCGTAGGTTAATCAGTGATAGACGGAGATGAAATTTCGAAATTAGCAAATTTGACGTCCTTACCAGCATCACGACGCTTGTAAGACTATTGCAGACTTAACTGAATCGAGGCGCGATGTGCCTTCACGAAGTGAAAATGGTTGATGCAATCCCGAGCATTGCGCTCTGGAGCATGTTAAGGTGTGAGTTGACATCAAAGGATTTGGGCTGCAACTAGCCCGATCCTACGGGGAACGTTGAACCAACAGGTATTTGAAACCAACTGAAGCCTTTGATTTCGTAGGAGTATCACGCAAGGAAGGTTATTTGCGTTACTTGGAGCGTATTGAAAAATCAACAACTGTCCTCACCACACGTTTGTTTGACTTCGCTCCCAGCCATCCTGACGAGGAACGAACGTCTTTGACAGAATAAGTTGTTGGCGTTCGCACCTGTGCCGTATGAGAACATGTGGCATGAAAATGATATGCGCTACATCATGGTGAGAGGCACGAAAAGATCAATAATCCCGACAGCAAGCCAAGATCTGTATGCGTGGACAACACCCCAGAGCTGATAAGCAGTGGGAACGGAATTTAAAAGTCTCGTTTTGTTGTCATAACGATGAATCTCAGCCTCATTCATCAATATCCGATACATTGTAATAGCTTACACTCAGTGCGATGATGCATATGTGGTGAAGTATTGTTATGTGGGATGAAGCAAGTGATGACATCCACAATTAATGCAGTGACACGGAAGGAAGATCTGCCGTTGTTAATGCTTCCATCTACCACATCTATCACATCTCGGATGATCAGCTTTATTTTGGTGTGCCCTTCCAGATCATGCATATGGTGTACGAGTCGTATTTCACGTGGTATATGGCGGTTCACGAGTTTGAATTAAACAAGATCAAGCAGTACGCCCTGCTGCACCGATCTGGGTTAGTATGTGGGTCCGTCGATCCCTCAAGACCCGCTTAGAACGGCTGCTGAGAGGAAACATGGCGGGCGACGAAGTGAGAGAACATCCACTTTAGATCTATGACGTTGCGCAATTAATGAGATCGAAATTACTACGTCACAAATTACGTGTTGTGCTAAAAATAAATTGAGGAATCCATAATCATTGGTGTCTTATCAACAGCTAAACGCATTACAATTAGCTGTCGACAATGTGTGATGTTTTTCAGCCTTTATAAGCACGTTGTCGGCCTAAGAGGAGAAGAGCAAAAGGCGTGCAAAGATAATACAACAGCTATCAATAGAACACCTAAAGGGAGCCTTCCTCATTTATATGGGGGTTCGGACTACAATAGAATATGGAAAACCTTTCGATGCAGCTCACGGCCATGCTCTTTTTAAGACCTAAACCCCTCCGCTTCTTGAGCTTAAAGGTCGCAAGGAGGTAGGAGTGTAATTTGGAAGATCTTTGAAACTCACCTTGGCATTCCTGGAGTCATAATAACGTCACTCATATCCTGCTATTTCATAGGACATGCGGTAACCAAAGCCAATAAAAATACCATTGTCGTGTCAGTCATATCTCGAGCTCGTAAGCACGAAATCCAAACAAAGCGACCGTCAATTGGCAATTGGTCAATGCTGTGCAAGTTAGGATGGCATGATTAAACAATGACGTATTTGGGAGCCTACTTTCTAAACGGAAAAGTCATGCTGTCTAGAGCAGTCTTTTCTTCTAAAAAAATATGCCAAGAGCTATCAGTGAGGTCGTTTCATCATATCTGATGCTTACTTCATTTTCTCCAAATATGAAACATTCCCTTCCAATTGAGTTAAGGACATGCGGGCAAACAATTTTGCCCACACATTGATATGATTCTCTGATTGCTGATCCGGCTCAGTTACTCTGAAAGCCAATCTCAATCTGAGCGTGATCGATGCATTTGTTTATACCCGTCTTTTCATACAGTACTGTGCGTGGATCATTTGTTTATACCCGTCTTTTCATACAGTACTGTGCTTGGATCATTTGTTTATACCCGTCTTTTCATACAGTACTGTGCGTGGATCATTTGTTTATACCCGTCTTTTCATACAGTACTGTGCGTGGATCATTTGTTTATACCCGTCTTTTCATACAAGCACTGTGCGTGGATCATTTGTTTATACCCGTCTTTTCATACAGTACCGTGCTTGGATCATTTGTTTATACCCGTCTTTTCATACAGTACTGTGCGTGGATCATTTGTTTATACCCGTCTTTTCATACAGTACTGTGCGTGGATCCTTGTTTATACCCGTCTTTTCATACAGTACTGTGCGTGGATCATTTGTTTATACCCGTCTTTTCATACAGTACTGTGCGTGGATCATTTGTTTATACCCGTCTTTTCATACAGTACTGTGCGTGGATCGTCGAAAAGAAGCCATATGACTACGAAAAGCAATACTGTCCAAACTCTATATATTTGTAATACACTTCACACACAGCACCACTGCCACGCATGGGTCATCCACGCATTGAATTAACACGGTAGATTAAAGTTACCTGAAAGATTACTTAGTCTGAGAGGAAGGCGTTTATTGTTACGATTCCCAAAATGCGGTTGGCCTCTTTAAGTATTCCAAACCACAGCAACCTCAAATACAAAATCTGGCGGCCAAGTGCAGCTATAAGACATATCTCTCAGCGAGCATTTTGGGCGATCCTAGGTTAATTTTGTTCGGAGATATTCAGGTTTGGGAACATGTCCTGCGTACTTTTATCGATGTTCCAGAACTACGCACTCGTGTACGTGCCGGCACCGTTATAGCCTAACAACGTCCATAACCTCCAACCTACTAAGATCATTTTATCAATATCAATGCTCGCCTTCTATTTAAACACACAGAACATCCACAAGCTAGCCTGCGTGTAACACATTTGTCTACAAACTATCAAGGCGCTCATCCACAAACAGCAGCCCAGGCGGGCGGATACGTATCTCCCCCCCCCCCCCCCCCCCCACCCCTACCCCCTCCGCCAACAATTCCTCCCAGTCAAATAGATTCCCGGTTATCTTCCCACGCAGCTGTCCCAAACCTGAAAATGGCCAGATCGAACATCTTGCGATATACTACATGCTAACAAGGCGCGCCTCGTCCCAAAGATCTCATCTATGTACACTCAGGCAGCGTTCCGCGCTCGCCGGCGCCGGGACGTTCACTTACCGTGAGCGTAGCCGCCACGCCTGCCGACCTGTGGCGGGTCTGACCCTGTCGCCGTGCCGCCACGCGGGGCCTCTGCCAGCCCGTGCCCGCCCCGCTCCCCTCCGGCGGTCCACTGACGGCGGCCGCCGCGTCGGTGTCGACGGGCGCCGCGCCGACGGCGCCGACCGTCAGCCGAGCGGGTCGCGGCAGACCGCGGACTGATGCGGCGCCCGGCGGTCAGGCGGGGACCAGGCAGGGCCGAGAGGCAGGGGCGGGACTGAGGCTCAGAGCCCAGACTGCTGGTCAGGTCAGGTCATAGGTCAGACTGGGGCTGGGGCCAGAGGCCAGTCTGAGGGTCAGGTCAGGGAGCATGCTGAGAGACAGGTCAGAGGGCAGGCTGACAGTCAGGCGAGTGACCAGACTGAAGGTCGTGTCAGAGGTCTGGCTAAGAGAAAGGTCAGAGGGCAGACTGACAGTCAGGTGACTGACCAAACTGAAGGTGGGTCGGAGGTCTGGCTAAAAGACAGGTCAGAGGTCAGGCTGACAGTCAAACGAGCGACCAGAGTAAGGTTGGGGTCACAGATGTGGCTAAGCGTTAGGTCAGGGGTCGGATAGAGGAGGTCAGGGGTCAGATTAAGCGGCCAGGGGTCAGGAGGTCATGTCATAAATCGGTTCATGGGTGAGGATTTGATAGCGGTTTGGTCAGATAAGGATAAGGATAAGCGGTTTGGTCGGAGGTCAGATGAAGAGTCGGATCAGAGATCAGAATGGGGGTCCGGCCAGAGGCAGGTGATTGCAGGCTGAGCCCTGAGTCTGTGTCGCTCTGCACATTTTTCAGGTCACATGTATTATCCATGATCCCTAGACCACTATCTCCATGAATACTGATTCTCTTGTGAGCTGTCCTCAGTTGCCCCAGATCCCTCGACGATATCAGGGGCGATCTACAGCGGTTAGATGACAGGTGGCCTGGCTCCGGACCCATTGGGTCTCAACCCTGACCACTCCGAAACCATCTGACTGCTTTATGATTGCACAACGTTTTGTTAGCACCCCCGGTTTCATTGAGACTCCAGGTGCCACGCAGCTAACGCATGGGTACCGGGCACTTCTTTGCCTGAGGGTTTTCATGTAGTGTGCTGTTGTTTTGTTTAGACATCGAACAGAGAAGTCCTTGTTGTGTGCCGTTTTACCATGTCAAAATATTCGCATTACTGCTACACCACAGCCACACGGTATACGTGCACCGCACGCCGGTGTTGGAAAAGAACTTTGCAGTACTATTCGTAAAAGTGAAATCAGGCGACTCCTGGCTCATGAAAACTCTATGTTTAAATTGCCAGACTAATTCCTCTTCAGCTCATTACAAATACGGATACCATCAGTAGCGAACCTTCCATCATGCGCCACAAATGCCAAAGCATGCAGCAAGCTAAGGAGCTTTGTCATATACGTCATAGTTGAAAGAAAGACCATAACGTATGGACAAAAGAAAACGACGAAATAATTCAGATGATAGTCTCAATTAAGGATTAGTCGCGTTTTTCAGGAAGTATCACACTTTCGAAACTGCATAACTGTGCTGGTACTCAGAGCAGCAGCCCAGGAGCGTGATCCGTCCACCATGGGGTAGGAGACATTTTGCACTGCTCTACAATTTGTGCACGATCTATTTCTTACCTGAAAATAACGTAGGAATATGAAGCACAAGATAAGCGCAGGATTAATATATCATTAACATGATGGCGTACAAACCATCACGTAAAAATGTGTTGCATGACCCTGCCGCAAATGAATGTGCGAAACTACTCTCTTCACTTTCGTTGCAAGATGTTTGCAATCTCAACCCTAGCCAGACGAAGAGGGATACCATACCACCTTCCAGGCAGTTATTTGCGGATCAAGCAGGGATATGCAAGACGGTGTGCTGTCCAAAAAATGTAAGTAATGACAGTGGCAAATGACTGATCAGCTGATTATCTTAATTAGTCCAGAATCGCGTCAACGTGCCCAGCGTTGATGTCACTTGTAGCAGCTTACACCTTGTAGTCAAGGCAAGTCGTTATTTCTTTTCATTTTCGCTTTACAATACATAAGTGCGAATGCCACGCAGTGTTCTAAATGTCATCTTTAATACTGCGTCTCCATCCAAGACGGTCATTTTGATTAGAGCATATGACTGAAGATAAGTCAGAGTGAAGAACTGACAGTTGTTGAATCACATAGGCCCCCCCCCAAACCTTTATTTTGCACTGAATTTGATTCATAGAACGATTTTTTCGTCTACTTTTCTGCGAACGCATGACCAAAGAAAGCGGGGTTTTAGTTATTAGACGCTTAAAATACCATGACCGAGCTAATCTGAAACGCCGTTCGTTGGATTCGAAGCGGCTCCAACAGGATATCGCTGTGTTCCTTGAAAATCAGCTATCTCCTGAGATTTTCCCCGAAACTCTGGCTCATTTCTGAACCAATTGACGGGAGGGATATCCCGTCTCCAGCCGAAAGAACGAAAATTGTCTCTGCCCTTCGTCGGTCAAGCTATTCATGTAGCATCATAACATAGCTTAGCACCTCAATAAAACGCCATAGCCTCTCAAATTTTGTAGGTCTACTCGAATTCGTCGCGTTGGTAAATCACACGAACGGCATTTACGATGTCATTGATGCATGTGTAGATAACCATACAAGAAAAATAAAATCCAGCAACGAATGGACAGCGAAAGCAAGCTGCTTGAGAGCAATGTATCATCTTAGCACATCATCCGTGAATATGTATTCTCAATCCAGGAAGGCACTTTGTGTCTCGCCATTAGCATTGCTAATTACAACAACATAAGCACATGACAATAATGCAAACCACATGACAATAATGCCTCAGTATCCCGGAAAGTTCCTAGGCTTACCAGCCTGCTAGGATGGAGCGACTTGGGCCAAGTGTGGAGCGGGCCACTGGAAAAACTTTTGTGTCTGAAAGCTCTTTCCAGCTCTAATGGCGGAAATAAATTAAATTGAGACGCCCCTTTGATGTGAAATATGGTCGTGATCTTGAGTTAATGAGAAGGGTTGGTTGTGCAGAGCTTCGACGAACCTATTTTTAGCCTTGACATTCAGATGCTGTAACAGGATGAAATAGCATGTGTCCTAGTTTCTGCATATAACGCATTCCGATTGCTTGTGAAATTATATAGCTTTCAAGCACGCTTAAACTAATATCTACGGGTAAAAATGTGCCATTACTATTTCTTTCACGTGACCGGGAGAAAATCAACTGGGCCGGGCTGCCGGGGTTGACTGTCTTAATGTTCACTCTTCCGGCAGCTTACACATTATGCGCTGGCCCCTTTTCCCCTGACACGTCCAACCCGCCTCAAAGAGGCTGACATTTCAACTTTGATTTACAGCGCACTGGGGTAGGCTTCAGGGAAGAACTGGAAAGATGGTTCGTTTCGGTTTCAAAACCATATCGGTGTCAAGTTATGATTAAGCAATCCGCTATATGGCCTCCCCTCATCTATCGTCACCTTACCTTGCCGTACCGCACCATACCGTGCCTTCTGGTTAACAGGCAATATACGAAAATCGCCATATTGGGGTTATCTGCGATGAAGACGTGAATTTGTCAGCATGACCATTGGGTAGTTCACGTTTACTTGTATCACTTGGAAGGCACTTAATCATCAATATGCTTCTGTAGTGCGAGCATTTGTCTTGAACTCGGACGTGCTGACTATAGCACGCGCGTTTGTTGATTAGTGGCCGTGTATGATAATCAACTTTTTAACCTGCCCCGTTTGAGCGCTCTTCATCGACGTCCTGCAGTAGACATCGAAGACGGACGCATATAGCTAACGTCTACTTCCGATAAAAAACCATGTTAGAAGACATCCGCCCTTTTACGTATTTTGCCACATGTGCCGTAAAGTTCAAATAACGAGTGACAAAATTAATGAGTTTATGTAAACGAGGGTTCATGCTGTAGCAGCCATCTTCTCACCCTTTTAACGGACGAGGTGTCCTGCGAGGCAGCAAACAAACATTTACGATAAGGAACAAATGTGACAAATTGATGCTAGCGATTCATTGAATACTATCGGAAGGCCTATTGCTTGTGAAGCACATTACCACAAAGGCGATGGTGGGCTGGGTCCTGGCGGGTGTCCACGGAGAGACAGTGTTGGACACGCGTGCCTCTGCTCCGATTAGCCCCATTCTAATGCCAGACCCCACCAATGTTTTTTTTTTTATTTCACGACTCTCGGGCTCTGTTGTGAAGGATCAGAACCGGCTTCGCCGCGCACGCCATTCCTTGAACATTAGTTAAGCCCAGCTGCGCTGCGACTTACCTGCCCTGGAGTTCCGCCACGCTAGATTACTGAGTGCTCCTAAGTAGGCCACTTTATTGAACCGTTCGGCCATACATTCGAAACGTCATAATCCCTGTCGTAAAAACGTGTCGAGAGCGCCAATTACAGGTATCGACATTGCTTGCTGTCAACGTTTGGAAACTGAATTAGAAGCAAGTGGGAGCCACGGGGGCCCGAGCGTCTCGCGGGCATGATGTGCGCGGCGTGGACACCGTACCGAGGGGAAAACAATACGACACAAGAAGAGCACCTAATTTTGACTTGCTGGTACCAAAAAGCAACGCCAGAAGACTTCAAGACAGGAAAGCAATAATGAATGTCTTAAATCGCTTTTCTATGAGAATTTCCATGACAAGTTCTTTCGGGGACCCACGAGGTCAGAAATCTTCCCCAGGGAAAATCCCGTGTGCGCGGCGTCTGGCTGCCCGCTTTTTATCCAGCTTCTGACGCCGTAAACCCCGCCTTTAATCTTCCTCCAGTCGTTTTTCCTGCAGTGTGCTCCTGACTGCCGTGTCGGACGCTAGGGCCGACCCCATCGGCTGACGTCAGCAGCTGCGACAGCTGACCGCCCCCCCCCCCCCAAACCCACTCTCCCACGGGCCTCGCGGCGGCGCACCACATCACTCCCGCGCTTGCTAAGCGACCAGCTCAGCCGATTTATTTTCGCAAAGCCGGGAACTCGCCAGAATCCTTGACGTCAACACCAACCGTATTTCAACGAACTTCATGAATATATGAATATATCAGTTACTGCCAGCGCAACACGGCTCAAAGAAGCGCATTATGCCCGTGCGTCCATCAGGCTGGGACATTGGAGGGCCGGGGCCATTACCGAACGCTTCAGTTCTGAGGGAGATCGGAGGGAATTCCCACTCTTTCTTGCCGTACTTCGGTTCCGTTCTCATCTGGACACCGTCGCTCTAACGACACACGACACGGTCGCGATAGGATCAGTGGGGAACACCAGCCACGAGCGGTGCTACTCTTGAAAGCATATCACATCTACACAGCCAGAAGGATTTGGATCTTGTGATCTTATGATGTGACAGAACATAGTTGTAATTTATTTTGAGTGGAATCGTTGCAGAGCCCGCAGTCAGCCGATAGTTAGTGCGAAGTGAAGTAGCTCGCGGTATTTAATTGTGTAGAGACCGTTTAATGGCTTCCAGAAGCTTTCGATGGGTACCAGTCGGAATTCAGTCTTTATGTTGACTGCCATCATCAATACATTGACTCGGGTATGAACATTCTAACAGATACATTGCGTGGCGAAAATTTTAAATAAGACACTAGTGCGAATGGAATAAGTAAGCCGACCACTGTCCTAACCAGTGGTGTTAGTGCTTACAGAAGGCTTCAGCCAGCTACTTTCTTGTCGCCGTCATGTTTTCTGTTGGCCCTGCAGAGGCCTTGAGAACATTTGTTGTTCAGCCATGCATGTGTGACAACTTCAGATTCCTCGTAGCTTTGGGTCCCGAATCCACGACCGCGTTGTGTAAACTGGCGCTCTACGCAATTATGACGGCATCCGTAACTCACCGCGCCGCTGGATGACCGCCCAGTCGGCGTGCTGTGCCGGGGACGCGTCTAACACTCGCAGGCCTGGCACGCAGAACAGACACTGTGGCCGATTACTAACTGCTCGCGTTACAGCTCTACTAGCGACGACCTAGTGACAATCTCCTGGCGACGGCCCCCGGACGCCGTGAGTGCCCCAGGTGCAAGCGGCGTGCGGAGGGGAAGGGTTCGTTCTATTTGTAGTGCAGGTGCCTCTTCGCACACAAGTGGCTATATCGCCAGATATGAGAGCATAAAATGCAATTCATGAATAAATATATGACGTTGATTTTCTGGCAGGGTTAGTCGTCACTGTGATGGGGGGGAAAACGCTACATACATCGCATTCGAATCAGTATATTGTTGCTGCACGTATTCACTTTGAGGACCGCAAGGGAAAACTGCTGTCGACAAGTCAACACCCCTCACAAAACCATATATTTAGAGAGAAAATAAACATTACAACACTTCAAACGTAACTTAAAGCACACGCAAGTCCCCAGAACAGAAGATTGTATGGCAATTTATGTCAACAACGACGACGGCGCGCGACGTGCGCCGCCTCCAGAACACGGTAACAATCTCAAAATCCCTACCAGTCCCCCTCCCCTCGTCCAGCAGGCACTAGATGGTACAGTAGGTGGAACTGCTCGGAATGACGTCAGAGGCCAAGGTGCCATTCCAATATCCTTTACAGCAGACGCCTGGCCAGTCCGGAAACCCCGAAACAACAGGAATACGACGCCGGCCGACCGGGGCGAAGGCAAAACCGCACTCACACGCACAATCCTCAATATGAAGGCATTGGGATGACGTGATCACGCAGCAACAGACAACTCCATTCAAAATACATGTCCATGGCCGCCGGTGGTCGGCGGGAGCCAACCACGTCTCGCAACAGGTCGCCAATGCCACCACCTAATAGCAGCGCGCCACGGTTGAACATCGCCACCTAGGGCTTACCACGCGTCACCGACGGGAAAGGGTCGACGTCCGCAGCAAATCACAGCTTGTCCGAGCGACAGCCACTGTCTGGGACCAGCCACGCCGTGCCGCAGGCCAAGGTCATCGTCGGTAGCCAATCTCAGCCCGCCGCGGGCGGTGGCCCACTGTCGGTAGCCAATCGCAGTCCGCCACGAGTGACGGCCCACTGTCGGCAGCCAATGGCAACCCGCTGCGAGTGACGACCCACTACCAGTAGCCAATAGCAGCCCGCCAGAGCAGCGACCTGGCCCGGAGCCGGCCCGGTGGCGGCGCTGCCGTGGCGGGCGCCGCCGGTGGCTACACATTGAGCACGCGCTTGCCGCGGCAGTGCTGGCACACGTGGAGCGGCGCCGCGTGCCCGTCCACGTACTCGTTGGCGCCGATCTGCTCGATGAGGCTGATGATGCGCCTGGCGGTGACTTCACGCTCCGGCTCGGCCGGTTCGGCTGGCGACGGCGGCTCGCTGTCGGGCGGCACGTCCGGCTCCGCCACCGGCGCTGGCGCCGGCGCGTCTGCCGGCCGCTGCCCATCCATCAGCTGCGCCACCAGCTGCTGCAGCTGATGCAGCTGCTGGCGGAGCTGCTGGCGGTCCTCGTGCAATGTGTTGAGCTCCTGCTGGCGCTCCAGGGCCTGCTGCTTGAGCGCCGAGCGCTGCACCTGGTACAGGCTGATGTACTCGCCTGCGGGGAGCCGGCCAGGCGGTTACCGTGGGCGCCGGGCGCCGGGGCTGCGTCCCGGTCCGCGACCGGCACGTGCACACCGGCGGGCCAGGGAGCGACCACTGCCTCGCAGGACATGACGCTGCGCTGCGCAACCGAACGCAGCACGAGACGGTTGGATAGCTATTTACGCCGCTACTTGGCAGGATGTCGAGGCATTACTGAACTGTCACTGACAGCACTTGGGGGACGACAATATGCCTCCGTAGTCTACAGCGCGGCCAATATCCATAAACATGTCACGATACTTGAGAAAACTTCAACATGTGAGCGCAAGTCTCATCTGTCCGATCCTGAAATGCGCCTCAGTTGGGACACATTATCGAGCCCCATCACACAGAGACAGCACCCGCCCGTACCGACGCAGAACGCGAACATACTGAGCCGGCACAACGGCTCCACACGCTCAGCCTTTTAACAAAATTACACCGGCCCTAAATTATAGCCCAGCACGTAAACATGCCTCCATATGCCGCCCTCCAGCAGCCAATAATCCCTCCCACCATTCTGCAGCGCGCTGGCGGCCGGCTCGTCTGATGTCGAGGCCTTTCAAAGCCATACAGCACGAGGCTGCGGCGCGACGGGCCACCGAGACTCGGACCCCTCGTCCAGCCCCAGCCCATCTCATCGACTCCTGCAGAGGTCTCGGCCCTGCCCCGACTGGATGAAGCCACGTCGTCAAGAGCGGCCGAGGAAGCCGCCAGTGCAGGTGGGAGTGAGACTGGCGCACGATCTCCGGCGATGTGCCGCATGAGCGACGTCCAGCGGCTCTTCGGCCCGGCCCGGCTCCCGACCGGCGCCCGGTCAGTCCCCGCGCTACATGCGGCGGACGCCTATCGGTCTCCGTCGCAATATGCAGCGAGCGGCCTTCCGGCGGCTTTTCAGTTTAATCGCGCCTCTCGCGGTGACCGACGGCGAGTCCGACAGCCGTAAATCGGCAGCAGCACGCCGCCGTCGGTGGGCATCAGCCGGGCACTGGTCCGGCGCGGCGCCCCCCGCACCTCCGGGGACGCCCGGCCGCTCCACCGCCGGCCCCACCCGCAACACACACACACACACACACACACATACACACAAACACCTCCACAGGAAGCCAGAGCACGCGCCGCGGTCCCGCGGGAGGTCGCCGCTCACGCTCTGGGCACCCGGAGCGACACCGGCCGACAGGGCGGCGCCGCCAGACTCACCGATGGTGTCCGTCTCGCCCTGCAGCTGCTCGCAGAGGTGCTCCAGGCCCTGGCGCTCGTCGCGCAGCACGGCCACCTGGTTCATCACGTCACAGAAGCGCACCTCCAGCTGCGCCAGGGCCGAGCGCTGCTTCTCGTGCTCGGCCGGGTCGATGGCGCCGCCGCCTGCCGCAGGGGAGAGAGACGCGGCGACGTCGGACGGGCGTCGACAGAGCCGGACACACCGCCGAGTCCGCTGCGCCGCCGCCAGCCGCTCGCCGTCCCGGGCCAGATAACACGTGCCGCCGCCCGGAGGCACGTAAAACGAACTGTCACAAAGGCCGTTCGTTCTTTACGAGCAGCACGTACGTTTGATTAATGCTGGCATGCGCAGTCTCGTTTGTCATACCATTTGTAAATGACTTGTTTCATCTCTCCATTCATTTAGCAGCAGGCCTGAGTAGATTGAAGCGCTTTTTATCCGAAAGTTAAGTGACAAGATATCTACAAATGAACACTGCCTACGCCATCATTTCTGCTGGAAGCGTGCCTCATAGCAGGCAGGCGGTCAGAGGGACACGGGGGCGGCCGCGCAGGAGCGCCACGAGCCGCCCGGCGCCGAGGACTATACCGCCCGCGCGCTGTACCGGGCGCCACGCGCGCGAGGCGGCCGCCGTACCGATGAACTGCTGAAGTCGGGCGCGCAGCTCCTCTCGCTCGCGGATGACGTCCTCCAGCGAGGGCCGCACGCGTCCAGACGGGCTGCACGGCCGCTCCGGCTCCTGCCCCAGCTGCGGCTGCTGTCGGGGCGCGGGCTCCGGGCCTGACCCCGGTTCCTGTCCCGGCTCCGGCTGCAGTCCCGGCTGCGGCTCCTGTCCCGGCTGCGGCTCATGTCCCGGCTGCTGTCCACCCGCGGAGCCCGACTGGAGACGGGCCAGCTTCTCCTGTCGGCCAGAGGGTAGACGTGCCAGCCCAGGTGCCAGGGGTGCACTGAACAGGGCGGTCTGCGACACCGCAGGTATGCACTGTGGTAAAACGTGGTACACGCTGATGGTGAGGGCAAGCTGGGCACACAGCTGGTGGCGCTGCGCCGGCACTCACATGCACATGAACTCTAAGCGGCCCTTACTGGTGGCGACAGCCATGAGAGACAGAACGGGGTTGTGCGAATTAACATGCCCAACATATCGAAATCGCCACAAATTGAGTGGCATTCCGGAGCCTGGCCATACCTTGTCCGGCAACACTCAGCCAACAAGTTATTCTGCCTTAATATGCTCTGACAAACTAACCGACGATCAGCGGCTGAGCGGTGCGGGAACTGCGATTTAGAGAGACAAAGTATAAAAGAAACTACGGAACTGAAGATGACCATGCTTGCAACATAATTTTGGTCCTAGAAAGGGGCAAAATGCGTTATAATTATATTTTGTTTAGATTTTGATTTTTTGATTAGATTAGATTGATTGAATTAATTTGATTGAAACAATTGATTTAGATTAAGTGATTCAGATTTTGTATACACTTAATTTAATACTGCCACGACACAGCCATTCATTATCCGGTCACAAATCCAATTCCGGTCAGTAAAACAATTGGTTCCAAAGCCACACGATTTTCCCCCAACCACGCAGGGCCGTGATCAGGTCGGCTGGGCCGCACAGGCAAGCACGACGGCCACGGACACAGGGCGGCAAAAAAAAAAAACAGCACGGACTACAGCTGGCACCGATCAGCGCGTGCCGTCCGGCCATCACTGGCGGAGAGCTCCCCTCTCTCCCCCTCTCCCAACATCCGGGCGCGACGACGGGTCCTGACCTCGGCCGCCGTCAGCTCGCGCTTGCAGGGTCTCCGCCTGCCGGCCCACCGCCTCGAAGTGCCGCAGCTGGTCAATCACCTGGGAGCACCGAGGACACAGCGCCGCCGTCAGTGGTGCGCGCCGGCTGGCGGCGGGGACGGCCGCGGTCGGCTGGCGGCGGGGATGGCCCGCTGCCGGATGGTGGCGGGCACGGCCCGCAGCCCGCTGCCGGCTGCTAACCGTCTACTTATAACACGTAGTGAATTATGTGTATACCGGAAAAGGCCCCACTAAAGAGCTAGGGGGAATTTGCGGTTCGTTTATTTGTTTATCCGTGAGACGTCCAGACCCTGAAAATACTCGTGGAAAGGTCAGCACGTAGCGTCATAACGATGATTGACGATTTAGGTCTTACGGCGCGCCGACTGCGTTACCAGATCCTGCGTTATCACTCACGGTGGGTTTCTTCTCGCGGGCGGTCATAATTCAGCTCCTCCCCCCCCCCTTATAACACGACTGCGTGAGCTCCACAGCGGACCCACTGGACCCGTCCACGATACCCGGTCATGTGACGCCTTGATACGGCCCGGCCACCCGCCATCCCATACCACGCGGTCTGCCATACTGCCTCGTCACAGGCGTCCTTCCTCTGCTCGTGACAAGTTCATCATCTTACCGTCCCGGGCAGAGTGCCACACGTCGCTCCCCCGCCCTCGCCCCCCCCCCCCCCCCCACGTCCTGACCACCGTCAGCGCCGCGGGAGGACTCACGCCAACTCTGGGCCCCGGCCTTCCCCACGTCCTGACCACCGCCAGTGCCGCGGGCGGACTCGCGCCGACTCCGGGCCCCGGCCTCCCCTTCCCCCTCCCCCACGTCCTGACCACCGCCAGCGCCGCGGGAGGACTCGCGCCGACTCCGGGCCCCGGCCTCCAGGCCACCGCGCGGCTCGACGCGTCTCACCTGTTGGGCAGTCATGTTCTGCCGCTCGGCGTCGGCGGCCCGCGCCACAGTCCGCTCCAGCTCCGCGTGCTGCTCGGCCAGCCGGCGGCCCTGCTCGGCGGCCGCCTGCCGCTCGCGCTCCAGCGCCTCGGTCAGTTCCAGCTTCTTATTGCTCTGGGGTGACGGCAGCCGGGGAGCGATGAGGCGGGGTGGGGCTATGGGTAACACTTGTACAGAACACCACTGGTGGCGGTATGACGGCAGCAGGCCAGGCCGACTGACGGCGCCGCCACAGGAGGCGGGAGGTGGCCGAGGTGACGGGTTGGCTGCGATCATTGATTTCTAGTAACGAAACCATGGGCAAGCATTGGAAATGGGACTCATACCCGAGTTAAACATTCCTGATCCCAAACCTTTCGGCCAGTACTTGGGTTGATATTCGAATTGATATCTGGGTTGGGTTGGGTTGGGTTGGGTTGGGTTGAGGAGGGAGGAGGAGAGGGAGATGGGAACAGGTGAAATGCGAGCAGTTAGATGAGATGGGAAATGAGCTGATATGAGATGGGATGAGATGAGATGAGTGAGATGAAATGAGATGACATGAAATGAGATGACATGCAATGAGATGAGGGGAGGGGAGGGAAGGAGAGGGGAGGGAAGGAGAGGAGAAATCAGGTGAGGGAAGGGATGAGGGGGGAAGGGATGAGAGGAAAGGGAAGGGACGGAAGGAAAGGAAATGGGAGGAAAGGGAGGAGGAGGGAAGGGAAGGGAGGAGAAGAGAAGAGAAAAGAAGAGATGAGGAAAAAAAGATGAGAAGACAAGAAAAGAGAGGACGGGCGAGAAAATGAGAGAAGAGAAGAGGAGAGGAGAGGAGAGGAGAGGAGAGGAGAGGAGAGGAGAGGAGAGGAGAGGAACGGAGAGGAGAGGAGAGGAGAGGAGAGGATGAGGAGAGGAGAGGAGGAGAGGAGAGGAGAGGAGAGGAGAGGAGAGGAGAGGAGAGGAGAGGAGAGGAGAGGAGAGGAGAGGAGAGGAGAGAGAGAAGAGGAGAGGAGAGGAGGGGAGGGGAGAGGAGAGAACAGGAGAGAAGAGGAGAGGAGAGGAGAGGAGAGGAGAGGAGGGGAGAGGAGAGAAAGGGAGAGGAGAGGAGAGGAGAGGAGAGGAGGAGGAGAGGAGAGGAGAGGACAGGAGAGGAGAGAAGAGGAGAGGGGCGTAGGGAGAGAGAGGAGAGGAGAGGAGAGAAGAGGAGAGGAAAGGAGGAAGGAGAGGAGGAGAGGAGAGGAGAGGAGAGGAGAGGAGAGGAGAGGAGAGGAGAGGAGAGGAGAGGAGAGGAGAGGAGAGGAGAGGAAAAGAGAAGAGAGAAGGGAATTGGGGAGGAGAGGACAGATGAGACAGTGCGTGTGTGTGTGGGGGGGGGGGGGGGCGGACGGACTCACCAGCGTGATAAAGCCATCCTGCAGCTCCTGCAGCTGCTGCTTCAGCTGCTTGTTCTGGGCCATGGCGCGGCTGGCCGCCACACGGTCGCTCTCCATCTCTCGGGCCAGCTGGCCGCTGTCCACCGCCTGCCGGCGTTCCAGGGCCGATCAGTCTCGGACATCAGCTGGGGCTTCTGGCACCGCAAGCAAACGCGTCCACTTCCACGGCGAATGATGAAGCGAGCAGGCTTCCTCAATGTCGGGGCGTATCAGCATCGTATCGTCTCATTTTTATGGCGGCTTTATCATGTCCAATCGAACATCACCAGAAGGGATGAATACTCCCACGAGGGAATGCTGCACTGACAGCAGCGAGGCCATCGAACGGAGCTCCGCGGGCCCGCAAGACACTTTAGCAAATGAGGACAATATAATACATCCTGGGCCACTCAGCGCGCCCCATATTTGCATTGCATTTGCATTCTTTTTCGCTTTGAAAAGGCGATGCAACAAGGAGCTGTGAAAGCATCGGACTGCAAAGGCATGCAAAAAGCCCCATTCATAAAATGCCAGTCTGGATGTCATGGTTGAGTCCTGAGATTGCAGCGATTTCTAGCCTATCACTGACCCCTCTTTGCCCTACACATTGGATGAATTCTTGTATCCACTGCCTGTGGTACTAAAAGGAACGGGCGCGAGCAAGCAGTCGCTTTTCCGAATACGGCTCCACACCGATTCCACAGCAATAGTTTTAAAAAAGCTCCTGTCTGCCATACTGAAGCTAGTCTACAGTGCATTCCAAAATGATTCAATAAGCATGGCCGAATTCCCGACCCAATGGTTACCCCGAGGAGACCATAGTCCGTGCCCCACAAAAGCCCCGTCTCAGCTATTCCCTGAAGCCCCGCCTTAATCAGCTGGCCACAGACGCCTGTGACCATCCGCCACCAAGTGAAAACGGCGGCCGACGGGAACGGGTACTCCACCGAGCGTCCGTACGCCGCGACCGGTGGCCATACGACGCGACTGCAGCCAACGCAGCCGAGCCGCCGCGGCCGGCTGTGCGTGATGGCGGCCCGGCCTGTCCCCGCGGGGCCGGCGCGTGACGTACCGCCGAGGTGGCGCGCTCCACCGTCACCTCCATGTCGCGCAGCGCGGCCGCCTGCTGCTGGCCGGCCAGCGCCAGCCGCGTGTTCTCGTCACTCTGCGGCGCGAGGACGGGCGTCACATCGGCCCGTCTCGGACCACAGGTACACCCGGCAGGGCCGAGGTCTGGAGGCGCTACGCTCAGCACAGCACGGGCCTCTCGGCACCGGACGTGTACAGGTGTGCTAGACACAACAGGAGCCTCTCGGCACCGGACGTGTACAGGTGTGCTGGGCACAACAGGAGCCTCTCGGCACCGTACAGCAGCGGTCTCAGCGACAGCGCTGTTACTGAACTGAATGGTTAGCGGGAGCTTCAGTATGCTGCAATGCATTGGCACTAACGCGCCTCATTTACGTTCACTGATTAAGTGGACGCTCAAAGGAGCATCACACCCAACCGAGCACGAGAGCAGAGCCCACACCGGCAGCGGGCGGGCGGCGGTGGTGGGGGGGGGGGGGGAGGGGGGACGAGTCAGCGCGGCGACGGCTCGCCACTGACCAGGGCTCGCAGCTCGCGGCGCAGCGCGGCCGCCTCCTCGGCGTGCTGTTCGACGGCGCGCCGCAGCCGCTCCGCCTCCTCCGGCGCGTCCTGCGAGGCGGCCGGCGCCGGCGGCGTCGGCGGCGCCGGCGCCGCGGCCGGCCGCTCCGCCAGCTGAGCGGCCAGCCCGTCCCGCTGGGCCTCGGCCTCGGCCAGGCGCGCCGCCAGCGCCGCCGAGTACTGCTGGAACTGGACGGCGGCCGCGTCCCTCTCGGCGCGCAGCTGCTCGGCCTGGCGTGTGGCCTGCTCGGCGGCGCGGCGCGCGCCGTCGTCCTCGGCCGCCGGCGGCCCGCCCAGCTGCGTCAGCCGGATCTCGGCCAGCTCCAGCCGCGAGTTGGCCTCAGTCAGCTGCCTGGTCAGCTGCTGGTTGGCGTCCAGCTGCGCGCGCAGTCGCTGGCGCGCCTCGTCCAACTCCTCCTGCAGCTCCGAGCACAGCTCCCTGGCGGCCACACCGCCGGCCGGTCAGATGATGTGGGCTCGCTCGCTCGGCCCACAAACGGCCCTGATCAGAGCAGGGTGCCGAACTTAGTGCAGCAGTCTGGGCATACCCGGAAGGTCGCGATTTTCACTGGACACTGCCGGTGTCGATGTTGCACAGGATATTCCGGCCAGTCGGGTCACAGCCAGAATTGTCCTGACCATTCTCTGCACCAGTCTCAGTACAGTGAGCACTCGTTTAATGGTGTGAATCAAGGGAACAGCGCGATCACACTGGTTGATCATCGACCCGACGCTCTGCATTCCGCCGCGCTTCACATCAGTTCACTCATACACTACAGCCCTAAGCTGTGCGCCTGGCTTCTGTTTGGGTTTAAAATTTGCTTTGCCTACTCAAAAGCACTCGAAAACGTGCGTCAGATTCCCCATCAAAACAGTCTTATTGTTAATCTGAACTATGGTTTAGTTCTTTTGTCACTCACCTCATCTAGCGCAATGACATCGACCCGCCGACATCATTCTAGCACCCACACGAAAACCATCACCGACATTCATCAGTCTAGAAAATTGTGGCCCTTTCCCTGTGCGGGGGGGGGGGGGGGGTAATAATACGCCCATCAGACTAAGTCTATCCGGCTTCCCAGCTGGAGTTTCTGGACCAAATCGGCCTTCTATGCGTTCCTTGTTGACGCCATCCTGCTTACATTTGGCGTTTTTTCAGATCGCACAGAGGCTGACTACGCGAGAATTCCTTTGTCACTCGCGCCAGGGTCGAACCGCCTGGCGCGTCCAAGACACCATGCTCAGCAGCTCAGACATCCCAAGGTCCTGGGATTCGGGGGGGGGGGGGGCGGTCAGAGCCCCGTCTCACCACGGCCACGGCCACGCGACACGGCACAACAAGGCGCGGCACGGAACGGAACGGAACGGAACGGAAAGGAACGGCACGGCACGGATCCAAACTTCCAGCACCGTAAGCGAGCATGACACAGCGGCCACCTCAACATGGATAGGTGTCCCGTGCCGGCACCCCAGGCCGCCAGACGGCGGTGAGCGCGCTCCCGGGCGCTCCGCCCCGGACCGGTACAGACCTGTTGCGGTTGCGCTCGTTGTCGGCCTGGGCGTACAGGCTCTGCAGGTGCTGGACGGACACCTCGATCTGATCGGCGCGGGACGTCTGCTCCTGCAGCTGGCTGATGGTGGCCTCCGCCGCCGTCAGTCGGCCTACCACCTGCTCACATTCGGCTGCAGGGGACACCCGCGTGCCGTCACAAGCCGGGCCACACGAGAGCAGTGGGGGCTTACTTACAGGGGGCACGTCAGGGGGCAGGTCACACAAACACAGCGTGACAGGCAGGTGGCGCACACATACAGCGGGGTAAACGAAGAGTCACGAGCTTAGAACCAGGACAAGCGGTGATGCTAAAGCCCAGCCCTCACAGTTCACCGCTCACCGCCCATCAGCCGTGCAGATACAGATATAGATGTACGGCACACCGCTGGTCAGTCGCACAGATACGGTGGCCGCCTTATCAACGCCGTAACTGGGCGACCCAAAAAAACTCGGTATGGCAAGGGCACGGGTCAACTACATATAAAAATCCTCCCTAACACGCATCACTACATGGCTGAAATATATCGCCCCTCATCGAAGAAACCCCCTCTGCCACGGCCGCCAGCCCTCGCCGGAAGGCCCACCTATGTCGCATCCAAACAACATCAAGATAAGCGTCCCAAAACCAGGCAGCTCCAGATCAGCATGCAACCATAACACAATGAACTGAATATGGGCCCGGATACGGCCCGGCGGTCCACTTCGCCCTGGCAACGGCGGCCCCGCCTCGCCCACCGGCCAACGCCGCGCCCGGGCCGAGCTCGGGCCGCGCGTCCCGGCGCTGCGCCTCGCCCGCCGGCCAGCGCCGCGCCCGGGCCGGGCTCGGGCCGCGCGTCCCGGCGCTGCGCCTCGCCCGCCGGCCAACGCCGCGCCCGGGCCGAGCTCGGGCCGCGCGTCCCGGCGCTGCGCCTCGCCCGCCGGCCAGCGCCGCGCCCGGGCCGGGCTCGGGCGGCGCGTCCGGCGCCACCGCACCGACGTACCGGCCTTGTCGGCCAGCTGCGCCTGCAGCCGCTCGGAGTCCGTCTTGAGCTCGGTGCGCTCGGCCACCAGGATGCCGATGGTCTGCGCCTGCGCGCGCGCCTGCTCGCCCAGCCGCTCCTGCTCCTGCTGGAGGCGCAGCTCGGCGGCGTCCCGGCCCGACTCCAGCTCCGTCTCCAGCTCGGTCAGACGGCCGCGCTGCCGACAGAGGGCCGCGCCCGCTCAGCACCGGCCGGCGCGTGGCGGGCGCCGCTGTCCGGCCAGTGAGGAGAGCAGCCGGCAGCGCCCGCTCGCGGAGGCGTAACAGTTGAAGGTAGGCATGTGTGTTTTGTGACATGACAGAGGGTGAATCCAGGTCATCGCCGCCATTTCTGGATAAAACTAAATCTAGCGACGAGCCGGTCAAGAAATCGTTCGGACGACCAAGCAGCCAGCGAACGTTACCTTTACCACAATGGCGTACCACTGTATCACCTATGTACTTCCAGAAATATCCAGCGGGAAGAGAGTGTACCACTACTGACGGCACCGTTTTGAATGAGATGCTTTGGTCCTCTCAGCATGATTTCACAATGTACCACAGGATACTTCCACTCCATACTTCTGTCCCACCATGTTATCATGCTGTGCTCTCACCATGCACTTCATGTCAGCACTTTCCAGGTTTTCCATGTGTTCTTATCATGTATACTCAGTGAGCCTCGCCATGCCATTGCAACACGATCTTACCACATTCTCCATGTGAGCCCCCATCAAGTTCTCCCAGTATGTCATCCCTATGTTCTCCAAGCGTGCTCCCATGATCTTCCCCTCATGGGTTCTCATCATGCTTCTCTGATATGCTCT